CAAAGTGCCGTGAACGCTATAGGGTGTTTTCTCCATCTGACTAAGATGTCTGCCAATTCTTCTTGCAGTCTTGGTCCCCACGTGCGCGAGGATCCTTTTGCGACCGGCGTGGTTGCGGACGCGTCGAATACTACTCTTAACTTTGTTACCGTAGGTTTTGTAATATGATTTTTCGTAGTCTTGGGCTCCCAGTAACACATTTATTTGGACCAGTGAAGTTGAGGGTTGGGTATGCTAGGATCTTGTTTTGCCATGTAGTTGGTCTTAAAATTCAAATTAATTTAGAGCGCTTCTTTTGAAACGACTGAATCGGATGGTATTTACCGCATCTCATTTAATCAACTATCGCTGATTACACTTACTTAATTTGCCGGATAATATTTCTAAATTCATAATTCTAGTTAACCCCCATTGTCTCTTGACATTTCTTAGGTCGACGAAAGGTCTCATATCTTACTGACACCGGCGTAAACCTACATGACCTTGCAGCTTTAATCTTTATATTTAATTTTTACTTAACGGGCCGGAAACTTTAAAATAGTAATTTATAGTTTAGTTTATTGGTGTTGTCAATATTTTATTAAAATACCATTCTCTTTGTTGCGAAACAATAATAATTCTCGATATTTTATAAACACTAGAAGTTTATAAGAACCAAATTCAAGGGATATCACAATTTAAGATTTAAAACTTCGGGTTGTAGTTGTTAATGAATTTGTGTCTAACGCTCTCTGCCATCAAGGTATTGTTTATTGTTTGCCTTTTTCACTAATATCACGTTAAAAATGAAATGGGTAGTGTACAAAGTGCACAATAAATTTCTATTATCAGCCAAAAAAAACCTTATCTTAATTGCGGACATCGCGGCTATAGTGACGCCACGAGTATCGGGAAATAAATATGAAACCTAGGCAAATAACGCGCTGAAAAAGCATTTTCCTGTTGCGCCTCCTTTCTAAACGAAAAAAATTTTTAATTAATGACAAATACTTACATTTCCACCCCTAATGGATTGTGGCAAACCCTTTGGCAAAACCATTTCGATGTGGGATAACGTTGGTTTACATGAATAGTGACCGCCCTTTGATTAATGCTAAGGAATTAAAACGTATTAAGTTAATGGGCACATTCATAAAATAGGAAAAGGGCATCTTCCAAATTATACACATCAACGTACAGGCATTTCGATATGGCACAATGATGAATGAATGATCTGAATGGGCTCATTTCCCCAATTGAATTTTATTTCATAGAGCCTGTTCGCAAACAGCGGGCATGTTTTATTCGAAAGAGCTGCTCATATTGATAAAACGCGTTTTGCGTTGATGCGTTTTTCATCATTTGCAAGGGATTTATCCGAAATCCGTACATCCGCTATTTCCTATATTAACGGATATCAAGAGGATAAATAATTACAAAACACGCAACTCAATTTAAGCCCCCCTTTCGTCGGATACTTTACACTGGTGGATATTAATTATGACAGTCATCTTTCGACTAAGAAGTATCGTCAGGAATGACAGTGAATCATTTTCTATTTTCATATTAAATTGCGCCATTTATCATATTTCCAGCATGACATTTAAACGAAAATGGGAACAGTAATGCTCTTTAAAAATTGTCATGCCATGCCAGATTTACAAACTGTTAAATGAACAAGTAATTAATTTGCAATTTTGGTGGCAAATTATTCTGTGGTGCGTCGAACTTTCGGGCTACACTGTACAGGTTTTTTTTTGCATATCTGATTGAAGTGTACTTCTATAAGTCTGAGATGTTTAAAAATCGCTATACTCATCAATCATACTAATGTATCTTTTTTATTTCAGGTTCTTAACATTTAAAGGGTAAGTCCAAAGTTTGCCATTCAGAAATATCTAGTGCTGTCTAAAGTTATACAACTTTATCAATACTGTTTCATTTGTGCAATCCTCTGACATGTACCTACAGAGGTGTAGACTGACCACATAAATACTCGTTCGTTAGAAGTTTTTAAACCCCAATTTGAAATAGAAACTTGAAATTTGGTTCACAGCCATAATCGACTATTGGGAATTCAAATAAAATCATTTCAAGATGACGTCGCTTTCGTAAATACTAAAGTCACTAGATATAGAAAATACCGCAATCAACCGCCATTTTTGGGCAAATTTGCTGCCAACTTAAAAAATTTGACAAATAAAATCTGAATAGCTGTAATTTTTTATAACCTAACTTCATAGTACTGTCATGTTTTATAAAAATTATACAGATATCTCCAAACAGGTGGAACAATCCCTAACATTAAAGTTACTAGAATCTGGTAACTTCCGCCATTTTTGGGCAAAAATCATGCGTTCTCTCTCTAATACCTGAGCCCAATGGATTGCGGTACTTTCTATATTTAGTGACTTTAGTAAATACTAGAAGTTGGCGCCATCTTGGTTTTTTAAATAGAAACATACCATTTCCTATTTTTTTCTAAATGCGCCATTTTATTCTGTTTTTGACATATGTTTATTCGTCAAAAATTTGGACTTGCAAAGGTCCATTAAAAAGTTTATATCTCTTAAACCGTTCAAGTGAGTGTCCTTTTTTATAATCTAATTCCTAAAGAATGAATTTTTTGAGTAACGCTCCAAATGTTTGTCGAAATCAAAGGTTTTTTCGTACCCCTAGGTAAGGGGACCGCCATTTTGGAGCAGGAATTTTGGGAAACTTTTTGCTAAATTAAAACAGGAATACCTAGAAACTGATATCCATTCCATCATTCTAAATGGATGACAGAAAGGAATGTAGATTTGAATTTTAGGGAAACAAATATTCTTATTTTTTCATTAGGGATGGTAGACCTTGGAAGCAATGATTTAATCTGAAATGTCATTCGAATCAAATGAACAAAACAACCTGGCATAACATACACAAATACAAGAAATGAATTAACTACGACAACAAAGCGAAAGAGAAAAACACAAATCATACAATAAAAATCGAATCAAACTATTAATACGAGGCAAAAGAGAATAATAATTGCAATAGAAAACAATAAAATTAATTTAGCGAAGACTACCCTCGAAATCTGCACGCAGACTCTAAGAGCCTTATGAATTAGCCGCCGAAAACAGCCGAGAGTCAAAAAAGCGCAATCAAGAGAAACTGAACCGCTACTACACGTTCGCCAAGAAGTGAGACTCACTGCGATTTCACATAAGTTTTTCACTCCGTGGCAAGGGCTATTTGAAATAGTGGAGGTGAGGCCACTTGTGAACTATGTAGTCGATAGGGGAGGTCGCTTGGAGACTCTTCATTTGGATAGGACGAAGAGGTGTTTGGAATAAGAGGAAACCGACGATGTTGTGTAGCCCATTATTCGCCGAAACAAGACCGCCCTGAAAGATTCATCGGACCAGAACGAACAAGATGATCCGACTACAGTGGGACCCTTACGCTCTTCGACCTAGGACATTTAACATACACCCCTCTCGTTATCGCGAGTAGTCCATGGGGTAGCCACTGTCACAGAACAAAAGTGGATCGGTGAGAGGATTTACGTGGAAATTAAAGGTTATTAATGCCAAAATATTAAGTCATTGTTCCACTGAGTAGTAAGCGCCCAAGTTTGACTGGTCGCTAGAGCAGAATTTACTGTTTCCCCACTTATCTCATCCAGACTATCTGGCATATGTTATCTCCATTTCATGACAAAATAGAAAGTTCATCCTGTCAATCATTCCCCTCTCTTCCATCCCTTATGCCGACCCTCTACTCTGATCATTGCCAAGTATAATACTAACGGCCGACTAAAACAACGACTGCTCGTTATTGCTTTTTTTTGGACCACTGACCGTATGATCGTATCTCCGACTACCCTTGGGAGGAGCAGTAATAGTTGCCAAAATGCCATTATACGCCTATACCTTTGGAATCCAAAAATACAATTTCGAGAGAGAGAGAGAGAGAGAGAGAGAGAGAGAGAGAGAGAGAGAGAGAGAGAGAGAGAGAGAGAGAGAGAGAGAGAGAGAGAGAGAGAGAGAGCATTTATTTCAACCACGAATGTGGTGTAACTGTCACACAATAACAACATAAATAAAAAACACAATAAAGTACAATAAATAATATAAATATATCTATAAAAAAGAAATGTAAATAGGTGTATATATTAAAATTTATTTATTTATTTTTTATTTTTTAAAAATATGACTAGCATTTCTTGATATTCGTAAAGAAATCATCCAGTGTGTATAGCACCAGTGATTGAAGAATTTTTCTAATTTGGTTTTTAAAAGGAGCCAACATTGTAATACATTTGACATGTGCCGGAAGGACATTATAAAATCTCACCCGGGCTGTACTAGCAGCAACCCAAGTGGAATCCGTCTGTACGCATATATCTCGAACCACGGCAAACAAGTAGCTCCAACAGACCGAAACACTATACTTGTCGCAGGGATCATCGCTCGGACATCTTGAGCGTTTCGAAAAACTTCTCGGGTACTGCGAATCAATAGTACGCTATCCGAAATAGGATCCATTGCAGCCGGAGTACCACAGGGCTCCAACATTGGGCCAACGTTATTTGATACGATATAATATTATGTATGACATACCTGAACCCACTTGCAGGTATTTTTACCACACGTTACACAAAAACCAAGATCTTCGAGTAATTTTTTGTCGTCGACAATTTCTTTTAAAATTTATAGAACATCGAGGGGGTTTAAATGTTTCTTTTTGGAACACAATTACGAATTTGCAAACTTTACACGGTAAACAGTTGTTTGAATCAAAGTTCCTTGAATTTTGATATTTACTGATTTTGAAAATGTGTTTGGGGAAAGGGCACTTGTACGCCTTTGTGTAAATTAGGATATTATCATTGTTGTTTAAATTTGACGTACTCGTAAAATATTATTGTTTTAAAACAGATAAGCAACACAAATAAATTTAAATGAATAAGAACGCATACTCGTATCTACTGGAAGTATATTGAGAATTATTAATAGAATACACTGATTGGTTTATTTTTAATTTGGTAGGAAAATTAGATAAGGTAAACAAGAAAGACAAAGTTCAATGCAACCAACTCCACTGCGTCTATATTAATTATTCATTATAATTCGGTATCTGGACGTGTAAGAAGAAAAATCAAGAATGTTGTGTCTTCGAAATGCCAAGCGCAGGTCAACTCGCATTAAAATCCCGTGCGGAAGTATAACTTAATTTTCAGATTCGCTTTAAGTAAATGTTTTACAACTTTACAAAGACGCGTTAATGGAGACGAGAAGAAAGATAACTTCGTGTCGGTCTTCCCTGAAGTTCTCGATATCCTAACCAATTCCTCTGTGTATTCGAATGTGCCAAAATTTTCGAATCATTTTGCCGAAGTGATGGAGTTCAACGTGCTGAAGGAAAAAAGGTTCAGACCGAGCATCATAATGGATACCTACACGACGCTGGAGGCGTCTGAGAATTTAACCGAAGAAAACTTGCATTTGGCGAAGATTTTGGCATGGTGCGTAGAACTGGTATGTTCATATTCACTTTATAATTTCGCGGAAGTAACAAAAACTGAAACAATTTATTTTCTAAATGCTTTTCTATATTGCAACCCTTCGTAAGAGGTACATGTGCTAATTGAATGCTTGATTTTTTTAGACCCTCTTCTTGATTTTTAAATTAAACTGTGCAAAGTTTACCAGAAATAATAATTTTTTTTTATTTCCTCAAAGAGAGCAGTTGTTAGGGGAAAGACCAAAGACCTTATCTTGAGCCATCCATTTGCTATCACATTTCTTGGTTTATTAAAGTCTCATATCGGTGATCCGGGTTTTGGCAATTTTTGAAAAATGTCACGTCTCATTGTAGAAGGTTTTTTTAGTTACACACATCCATAATAATCAACGATGACTTGATGGACAGCTCACAAACGCGCGCTAACGAAATAACATGGTACAGAAAAAAGGGGGTTGGGTTGAACGCCGTAAACGACGCAACCTTAGTATTGGAGGGGGCATTTGTACTTTTGAAGAAATATTTTTCAAATTGTAAAGCTTATTTGCCACTGTCCGACCTATTTCGATACATAAACATGATGGCCGCGGTGGGACAAGCGCTGGACTGGAAGAGCAACATTAACGGGAACGCAGTCTTTGCACCCTTCACTATGGACAAATACAAGACGACGATTGGTTACAAGGGCAGCATACCCTTCGTGGAAGGACCGTTTCGAGCTGCTTTAATACTGTCTGATAATGGAAGCGAAAGTACGCTACGCGAAGTTCGTGACGTGGTAATGAAATTGGGTGAAGCTTTTCAGATTGATGTAAAGATGTAAGTGTTGCGAAATTTGGCTAACAATTTTAATTACAGAATGATGTTTTGGACATATTCGAAAATGGAAAGGTTAGGAAACAGATTGGCAACGATATTAGTGAAGGCAAATGCACGTGGTTAGCGGTTCAAGTGTTGCAAAATGGAAATGAGGAGCAGCGACGGATATTTAAAAACAATTATGGGCGAATTGGTGATGAATTTGAAGAAAAGATTGTTGCTGTTTACAAAGAGATGAACTTATTCGAGAAGTACCTTGCTTACAGGGATGAAACGTTAGCTTATATTCATGAACGCACAAGGAAAATGACACCTTCACTAAGGAACGCCAGCATAAGTCTAGTGGAGAATATATTTCCATTGTGATAAGAACCATATCATGCAAATCATACCTACGTATGGAAGATATATTAAATAATTAGGGGATGTAAAAGGTAAAACGTATATGCGTAATTGAATTTCGTCTTATTTTCTTGTTACCTTGAATATCAGTTTCTCGATACAGTTTGATAAATAAACATTTTTGATTTTACAATAGCGTTTTTCTTCTTAGCATTTCTCTTATAGCGTTGAGTGAAAAATTTCTGATTTCGTTATTCAATGCTTATAGGTTGTAATAACTTGTTCATAATTAAAAAACCAATCTTCCTGCTGTCATATAATTTATACAACTTCTTATATCTGACCGAATATTCTTGCTACTACTCTAGATTGCTAATTACTAATATCGACTGACCTAATTATTCTCGGTTAAAGACGTGCATTTGACTTTGGATATAAAAAGTGCACAAACGCACATTCTTAATAGCAAGTTAAATGAGTAATTATTTCTCAATACCAAATTACCAAATATGTCCATCACACTTCCTTCCGGGAGAGAAAAAACACTTACATAAAGGAACGTGTTTGTTCTGCTTCTTACAGTAATTTTCTTAATAACTAATTACCAAATCGCTTAATTCTATTTTTATGGATTTCTGTTAACTTATCTCCTATCTTAATTAACACCTTTATTGTCCATCACTGTATAAGGTCCGTTGAACAAATTTTCGTATTTATACCCCCCCCCCCTCAGGCCCCGTCACTCACTGATCTCGAAAAAGAGTCGCACTAGAAAGTTATAGTTTGTACAAACCAATTTATTTCGATGAGACCTTTCATTAGAATACCATCAAGGGTAGAACATGTGCCCCCCCCCCCCCATTTTCTCAAGTTTAACTTGGTACCGCTAAAGGCATGCGTATTAAAAATCTGAGACCAGTTGATTGTCGTATGTAACCGTTATGTACGGTTTACTTTCAAAAACAGCATCTCAGGAAATAATCCGTGGGGGGGGGGGGGCCTCTTTTAGACAGCGAAATTTGATGGCCGTCTGGCACACTTTCAAGGTATAGGCTACTTACTGCAAAAAATTTCAGGACTCTAGGACCATTCCCCTAGAAGTAGTTCGAAACGGCAAAAGTGGGTTCGGACGGAAGGACAAAACGCATGCAATAGCCATTTTTTTAATTCTTAAAAAATGCGCTAAAAATTCCAATTACATGGCACTGGCGCTCTGAACATACATTAGGGCTTAAGATCTAATTTGATTTATTATTACATTTAGATGATCGCGAAAAAGGTCCATATAATTCACTGAGGAGAAGTTATTTAAAGTGATCAAGATCTTAATAAGTGGGGAAGTTGTGTTGCTAATAAAAAAATAGCATTATTTCTCCTTAGCTTAACAAATGGTACCTTCAGCTTAATTTCTTGAAGTAATTCGGAAGCGTTTAACAAATTATGTAAAATTTTGAAGACAGCAATTTTGGATGCAATGAACCGTCGGGTTTCTAAACCCATTATATTTTGACCTAATATTCCTTGCATTTCCTTGAAAAATCACTCCCGACTAAAAATTTATGATGAACTGCGGTATTTTTTATTGTGGACTCTGCATTTTTAGTGAATCTAATGAGTATAGTATATTCTGAACCGTTTAAATCCTTCTATCCTTATTGTCTTACGGGGATTTATATTCTACCTTAAAGCTTACTTAAACTAAAAATAAAAATAATGCTGAGGGATGATCCCATATCTAACAAAAGTTGTCATTTTTCTGTTCCTAACGTAATATTTATACAATTTAATCTGTTCATCCTAAAATTAAGTCTCCTCTTTTGAAATTTTACTAGGGAGCCTGCTTAGATTACGAGCTGTCGGCCTGTCGCATCAAAAAATTTTGCCGTGGTTCGCCCCTGTAATTTTGCCTACATTTCTTCCATGGTAAGGTAACCTCGAAATTGATGGTTCCGATAACCACTAGGATTATGTAATTACTAAAGGATTTTTATTGATGGTTGTCAAATGAATATACTACTTATTTTTCCCTACTGCATTGTATCTTACGGTTGTATTGACGCTCTCGGTAATACGACCTACGATTTTCCCCTAAAGTTACCTCTTATTTGATATAACGTCTTTTAAAGTTTCATAATTTCTTAAATTATGGTCTTTTAAACCCTTCGAGAATGCATTAATTGCTAACTTTTCTTTTACTTTAGACAAAAGCTTAATTGAAACGTTATTTCCGCCTGCTGGCGCTACGGTTAAATTTAACATTAATTTTTCTACACCTCTACCAAACTCTTCTATTGACTGTCTGTTTTGGTTAACCCTATGTAATTCGCTTGAAAGGGATGTTGCCGATTTTTTAGTAAGTAAATATTGTCATGTACTCGATTAGCAAATTAATTGTATCGTACGATATTGTAATCTCCTTTAATGCTGACGTGAATACTTTATTTTGAGCTATAATTAGTTTTAGCACAGGCGATAAGTACACAAAAAACGTCAATCTGAACATTTTGGGAGGGAAAGCTGGACTTTGTTGAAATGTCTCAGGTTAGGTGTCCCGAATAACGTACTAAAAGTCCAGATCCCCAACTGCGCTGCTCGTCGTGCTGTGGCACGTTTTTGCCCACCGAAATCAGTTTTTCGAAATGTAGCAGGCTTAGAGAAAAACTTTTGAAACAAAAAATGTTCCTCGTAAAATTTCCTACACGATAGCTTATTTGCAAGTTAGCCTAGACCTAACCGTTAGCCTACAGCGTTCTTTTGAGTAGTCTAATATCGAGTTTTTCGCCAGTCTACCTGCAGTATACACTATTTCAACACGAATTACTTTAGCTACGTCAGCGGAGTCAAATATTGTGTCAGGCAAGCAGACATTTCGATCGTCATCGGTTCGTTCCATAAGGCGGTGGAAAAAAAAACGCTGCACTCAGTCTCCACGCCTACCGATGCTGTCATCAGGTGCAAAAATGGAGAGGAAACAATTTCTCTCCGATCGGATGGGGTTGGCACATACACAGTGCAGAACTTCTGCCTACACCGATGACCGCTGCGCCTAACTACTCCTGACGAGTTGCTGAATTTAATTTCATGCGCTTGTCAAAAAGGATGCTTATCTGCATGTTCGTACAGCAAAGCAGGTGTGTCCTGATAGAAGACTAAGCACCGATTTCTGTTCAGTTCTCTTCGAGGTTCTGAAATTCAGAGATACGTACTCATTTCTCTTTCTTCTCTGTGTTACAGGACTGAAATGTTCCAATTTACGCTCCGGGTGTATGGATCTTTCATGCCTCAATGCTGAGGTACAAGCTGAGGAAGAGTCACACTTCGACGACAGTATGGACTCCGATGTCGAAACTACTCTGCATTCGGATGATGACATTGCTGTTTGAGTCGAACGATGAAATGTATATAGAATTAAGTGATTATAATTTTGAACTGTAAATAAGAAAATACGTATGCTTCCAGAATCTTAATGAAATTTCTTAAACGAACGTTCAAATCGGCTATCCTATGGTACAATAAGTGAGAAGTATGTTTTTCATCAATAACAACCATAAGTACAAAAAATCATCAAAGAACTCAATATTAGACTACTCAAGAGAACGCTGTAGGCTAACGGTTAGGCCTGGGCTAACTTGCAAATAAGCTTTCGTGTAGGAAATTTTACGAGGAACATTTTTTGTTTCAAAAGTTGTTCTCTAAACCTGCTACATTTCGAGATATTAACGAAAAACTGATTTCGGGGGGCAAAAACGTGCCACAGCTCGACGAGCGGCGCAGTTGGGGGTCTGGACTTTTAGTACGTTATTCGGGACACCTAACCTGAGACATTTCAACAAAGTCCAGCTTTCCCCCCCAAAATGTTTAGACCGATGCACTTACCGCCTGTACTATTTGTTTAATTGGATATTGTAAAATGGAAAAAACCAAGGAAGTGCAATGTCAAAAACTCTCGATCAGTGCAGAGGCACTATCGTTGTCATTCAGTATATGAATGTGTAAAAAGAGAAGTCAAGGATGCTAAGCCAAAGTTACTTGGCCTTGATAACACTATCACAAATTTATTGGAATTTGAAAGTGATATTATTAATACTATTGTGGATCGTGTTGGTAAATCTGCTTCGTTTTGGAATGTGAATTCTATATACGAAATCGTGCAATTTGTCACAACCATACCCATTTCATCCCTTCGTGAAACAAACTAGAATCAAGATCTTACACAAATACACTTATTTCAGTTAGTCAACCATTATCTATATGAAATCCTCTCATTATAATACCCACTTTTCGCCCGAAAATTTAAAACATGAAGGACAATTAGTTTATTCCGAATTTGTGTAAAGAACTTTTGAATTTGTCATATTTCTCATAATGTAAAATTTAAATATATTGAGTTATTTCTTTGAAATTTTAACCACAGATGCTTCTAGTAAAGGCACATAGTAAAAAAAAATTATGTGTGGGCATGCGCAGATGCCAACTTTCTTATTTATTGAGTTATTTCTACAGAAAAGCTCAAATTAAACATACAAGGAGAGTTTTTCTTTTTTCATTTTTACTAATCTCCTAAACCATAAGTCGCTTAAATGGGATGCAGAATTTTATGCTGACTAATTTTCCCTTTCAAAATTTCATTTGGAGAATGCACTGGCGTTCAATTATTTTCCAAGCCATCAAAATAATATACAAAATTCCTTGTGTTAATCTTGTAAACAGCAATATTTTAACTACAATCTAATCTTGTTGATGAATTGCTCCATTTAATTAGTGTGTGGCTAGAGTAATGGCGGACGACGAAGTAGGCGCTGTTGTGGACAAACCGTGCAAAAAGTGTAAAAACATTGCCCACAGTGGCTTAAAATGTGTCAAATGCGATCGGGTGTCTCATGTGAGTTGCGTGAAGTTATTAAAAAGCGTGAAAAAAATTGACGATAGGCATATCGACTGCTGTTTAAATGACAACTCAAATAAGGCTGTGCACAGTGAACATGATCTATCCATTGAAATAACGTACCTTAAAGAACTACTGATTCAAAAGGACGCAATAATTGAATATCAAGAAACTGCAATTACATCATTACAGGAGCAAATTAGGTTGTTAAACGTAATTAACACCCATAATAACTTAACGGATGCGACATCTATTAACAAACCTAAAAGGAACAAGAATTACGCTCGAGCACTATCTGGACAAAC